ATGAATTTATTTAATACACGAGTTTCACAATTTGAGTTGAATTACTGAAATAAATGAACTTTTCCACGACATTCTAATTTATTGAGATGCGCCTGTGTGTGTGTGTGTGTGTATATATATATATATATATATATATATACACATACACACAGTGTCCGACCTCATTGACTTTCTTTGTATGACAAAAATGCTTTTGGGATGACACAAGGGTGATTCAATTATGGAAGAAGTTAAATTTTTGGGGTGTCTATGATGTTATGCTGAGATCAGCTAATCATAATTGAGTTCATTTGCATAAGGAAGTCTTCATTGTGCAATAGCAAAATGGCCTGTTAATGTTCAGAGAGAGGGTGGAAAACGCTCCTAATGTATAAAATTACTACAAGAAACCTGCTTTTAGGTACATGGTTATCATTGTAAGTGAACCTAAGGGACAAAAACAAAATGCTAGTGTAGAATATTTAAACGAGTTAACCTATCCATCCAGGCATACGATGTAAGGAAAACAGAGGTTCAGCTGTCAGGCTTGCAGATACGTCCATTTTTTTTTTTTCTGCAGCACCATCTGCTGTACGCGGCTGTTCATTTCCAAAAGTTCAGGGAGTAAAACAAACGGCTGTCACCAACCTTTTTAACAACTGACACGCCACAGACAGACTCGACGGGGCAGCCGCTCAAACAACGGTGTTTCACAAGAAACAAGCTCTCAGCTGGAGTCACATGGCACAGGACGAGGCGCGTATAAATTATTCTTAGTGCTAAAACAATTCTGTCATATTATTTTTATAAGGATTGAGCAGTGCAAGAACTCCACATGTCCTTGCGTTTTTTTTTAAAGGATTTCTCATGTTAACAGAATCCAGGCAGCTTCAGAAGCACTTTATGTAATGCTTTTCCGTCTGCGTCAACTTGTGAGTCATTTCTATGTGTTCTGATTTGCGCGTTTACAACTCCAAGCGTCTTAAATGATGGTCAGCTAGTGCCCAACATCCAGCTAGTGAGCGTCTGTGGACTGCAGTCTTCAAGTCATATATTTTCAGTGGGGTTTAAGTCTGGGCTCTGACTAGGCCATGGTTGGAAGGTAAACCTTCTTCCCATTGACATCTTTCTGGCAGAGGGCAGCAGATTTTCCTCAAGAATTTGACAGTATTTTGCCCCATCCATTTTTCCTTGTATCCTGACAAGTGCTCCAGTCCCTGCTGCAGAGAAACTCCCCAGAACAGGATATGACCACCTCCTTGCTTTACTGGAGGAATGCTGTTATTTGGATGCTGAGCTAAATTGGATTTCCACCAGACATATCGTTTGGTGTTGAGGCCAAATAATTCCGTTTTAGTCATAAAATGAGTTGAGAATCTACAAGGTTATTTTTATTATAGTCATTTATTATTTATCTTTATAAAAGTATTATATTGTATGTGTATATATAAAAAATATATACTTAATTATATTTATTATATTAAAATATAATCTATTTTAAATTAAATTATTTAAACTAATAAATAACAAATATATTTTAGTCAAAAATTATATAGATGTACAGATTTTCTTTGTATGTAAATTATGTGTCATGTTTCTTTATCCTATTGTTTATGTACCTATGTTTTTTAATGACTTATTTAACTTATTTTGCCAGTAAATAGTCTTTGACATGGCCTAAAACAACCAAATAAATGTGTGTATATT